CCACCTATGCCGGATTCCATGCAGCTGCAAGATGCATCTCCGGCGGTCCTATCTATATTACTGATACCCCCGGTAACCATAACATCAACCTCATCAAACAAATTAGTGCCTATTCACCCAAAGGCTATACCGTCGCGCTCCGCCCAAGCTGTATTGCCCTGCCTACCGACCCATTCGTTGCTTACAACAGCAACCGTCTTCTGAAAGTTGGTAGTTTTTCTGGGGGTTGCGGGGGCTGTTCCATACTCGCTATATTCAACGTATCAGAAAGCCAGAATTCAGAACTTCTCCTTATAGATGACTTCCCAGGTATACTGCCTGAGCACGATTACATCATTCGCGCTCATACCTCGGGGGACGTCACTGCAATAACACCAGGAATCGGCTCCCTTATGCCTATAATATTACCTCAGTATGGCTGGGAGTTGTTCACAGCTGTACCTGTGGTCAAGATCAAGCCTCCCGAATCAACAGGGCATTTCACTTTTGGGGTCCTTGGTATTATCTCAGTAATGTCAGGGGTATCTGCCATCATACAGCAATCGGTAAACACCGAAACAGCGCATATCGCAGTAACTGTTACTCTAAAAGCCCTCGGTACTCTTGGTATTCTACCCCCCGCCATGAGGTGCTTGGTGTCTCCTAATAACTTTGTCCCATTCCCCAGGTTTCTACATTTCCGACCTTGCGTCGAGAGATATCAGTAAATTTCTTGTGACTATTGCCGGGAATGTTGTTCCCTTTCATACCGTGAGGAAGAGCCCTCAGAGCAACACCATCCTCGAGATTGATCTTGAAGCAGCCTGGAACGAGCTAAACCTCTCAGCCGGGTGGTCGAACGAAACATTAATTGGGTTTCATATGAAATAACTTCGCCAGCATTCCCGAAGTTAGTCACGATTTTCGATGTCATGCAGCCACTTTCTTACTACATCAATATTTTTCGGCGGCATTCGTGAGCGTTTTATCTACTACGATGCTATGTTATCAATCGCATGTTTTTGTGCCAACCCTAACTTCATGTTACTCATTGCGCTTTCACTTATGAGCGCTGCACAGTATGATACGGACATGGATAATCCAACAGCAGGCAACCGAATCCCGGGTGCTCCTTATCCAAGAATAAAAATCAAAAGCAGAATAGTCTGAAATAAAACCAGGTGCACAGTCGTAGAAATGGCAACTGCTGAGTTGCAGCCTGTATTTCTAGCGGTTAGTGTTCGAGGAACACCAAGAGCAATGCAACATCAAACCTATGACTTCGATGGAGCTTTACTCCATGACCTTACTCCAACATAGATCTCCTGGGTAGTGCTTGCATCCCCTGCAGAGATGATATTCGCTTTCCGCTCAAGAGCTTCGTTCAATAGTTCTAGATTGAATAATACAACTCTATAATAGTAGGTGCCTACAAATAAGCATGTGAAAAAGGAGGCAAAAACGGAGGAGAGGGTATAGGGTACTACAATAAAAAATACATGAATTAAAAATTAAAAATTACTAAATGTGCCAAGGTTCCTGCCCATTGTGTAACAACACGCAATTCCAAATCTTGCAGGACCTCTTCAAGGTGCCGGACAGCTCAATGCAAGATTTTTCATCAAAGCTTACGATGCAGCCACACTACTGATCAATACCCGACAAAAGGAGAGAAAGTTATGATGAAATTGAAGTCAGGATTGAGCTTGCATGTAAGGAGCTATCAAAAAAGTGAAAAACAGAATATGGCTGTGACTGCATAGGTGTTTGAAGTATCTGAAAGGCAATTAAGGACATGACGGAATAGCTGTCAAATGAAGACTAACTGAACAGCAGCCAACTATAATTACTAATTGTGCAAATAGTATGCTCAAGAGAAATCATCCAGTAGTGGACCCCCCTCACGCCCCCCCCCCCCCCCTCCGACCAACTGTGAGCTCAACTTGGACGAACCTTTTTCTTCACTAGTATCCAGAGCTTTATATAAGAACAAAAGGGTTTAGACTACAATCAAATAAATACTCATAATTCTGAAAATCTACTTGATTGGTTTAGTCGCTTCAAGTGATCATAGAACAAGAAGGGAATCCAGCTATGTTACGGAGGCAGTGGTACATAGTCGATGGTATGGTAACATGAAAGCGAAGTTCCCTAATCACTTCATATAATACCTAGTTTCATGGGAAGGCTATGGCACTAAGGAAAACTCTTGAGAGCCATATAAGATACTAGAAGGCACTGGCTTAGAAGCCATGAAAGATTTCCACTATTGGTATCCCCATAAACCCAGAGACTATAGGGTTGAGGGTGAACCAAACCAGGGAAATAAAAGACAATATTAGTGGACCTGGTCACTCCTCGGAGAGGAGGGGAGTAATGTAATGATACTGAGTTATAGAGCTATGGTAACCTAAGTCTACGGCCATACACAAGAGCATGAGGTCGGATAGTAGACTAGGCAGGCATGCTGGCGCATGTCCGAGGGATATCTGACGGTCCTGATATTCCAAAGAACAGAAGATACTTATAGGATAGGGGTATCTAAGTAGTGGAAGTAATGTGACTAGGTGTGCTCCGACCTAAGGATAGGTCCGAAGGGCGGGTGAGTTTCCCCTGTCTAGGAGGTCAAGTTACCCAACCATGGAGACTACTTTCATGTAACCATGGACATACTTACCCTACCTTTGGGACACTATTACCCTACCTTCCCGTAGAAATATTCTTGGAGGAATTTCGGGAAATGTTAGGATTGTTTACTCCGCAATGAGGATCGACACGCACTTGCTTGTACATTGATCGGAAGACTACGGGAGGAGCTATAATGCTCTGAACAAGCTGTAACTTGGTAGGATAACTCCTGACAGGTGCCTGCGGCCCCAGGGTTCGCCCCGGGCGTCATGGATCAACATGGGTGAAGTTGCAGTCATAGTAGTTAAATGGTGTCTATGAAGGGACGTCTATAACACAGTATCCATTGCTCCTGTCCACCCGACCGGATGCGGTTCACAGGATGTCCAAGGGGGCCAAGGTGGGAAGGTCAGGTACCTTCTCCCAGAAGAACAGAGTAAAACAGACCAGAACTGACGGAGTTAGCATGAGCTATCTGGAAGGATCCCCAGAGTAGTGCCGGGTAGTGTGGGAGACATCAGGGAAGCTTTTATGCCAATCAAGTCTACACGTGCCCCTTTGCCGCAGGCCCTTTGTAGGTTGTTTGAGGACTCTAATAGCATGATACTTATCATGGTGAGTGGTGTACTGGGGGCAAGGGACCTTGGGTAGTGCCCATGGGTCCCGCCGCCACTACAGCTCTCCGCAGAAGCATCGTAGACTTCTAAGTTTGCAGTCAACATAGATAGAACTTAACTGGAAGACAGCTGATATCTACGAGTGCTTGCATGTGTCATAGGAAATAGGAAGAGAGTCATTTAGTTACCTTTCCTAGGCGCCTCGAGAGTTAGCCACTGGTGAGGCACCAATGCGCAGAAGTTTTCACTCTGGCAGATGTATTGGTAAACATCTCCCATGGAACTGAATTACATATAGGAGATTTCTACTAGAGTGCACTGACACCTAAGGCCTTTCGGGAATATGGAAATGATGCCGGGTAACCCTTACCAAGAAGGTCATACTCATTTTTGTCAGGGTAACCTGATAGGATAGTTTTTGGTATAAGTCAGACTAGTTAAAGATTATATGAGAACTCTCCTACCTCAACACAATCAACCTCCTCTTGAGAGACTTTAATTGAGATAAGCCATAGCTTAACAATATTAAGTTTTATGGTTTACTTTTACTCCTTACACTTTACAAGACCTGTGTTCGAGAGATTTGAAGTTTGGTGTGGTGCCATCCTTAGAAACCCTCTACCTGAGGGAGCTCCTCTTACAGCATGATGATGCATAAAATGTAACCAATAAACCCAAACACCAGGTAAGAAAAGCTCACTATAATCCCTTAATTGTGTCATGAAATATTAAATGAAATATGTATAATACATACTCCAGCTGTAGTAATGTTCATAGTCTAAAAGAAATACTAAGAGGAGGAATATATGATATTATCAAGGAGAATATATATATGAAACGAATTAGAAAATTCAACAAAGGCCCAGGATTCCAGAAGCCTGGGAGTTATCCCAGCCCTAACTTTATCCTTAACCTATTTATGGTCTGTGTAATTCACCTTGTACATCAGATCGATAATCTTATCCACCTATAGACTACTCTGGTTAGGGGTCATTACCAAGTTATTCCACTGGAGAAGATTCTTTTCCCAATTCACATTATCACTCCTGTGACTCTGCTCTAATCATTTACAGAAACCCTTTCATGTCCTTAGCAGCTCATCCTCTTGGAATTGCATTCCTCCTTGCTTAGCAACTTTATGGTAGATGTGTATATGCATTCCAAGGTACTAGTTGCATGCCTAGTCTTCAAGAAGAGGTATGACTAAGTTGATCTTATTCATGTCCATCAGACAACAATTGGAATAGTACTCAAACTTGACTTTGACCAAAATCAGACAACTAGCCAGATCTGCAATTATGCCATTAAATGGAGGAATGCCACATAGCTCCTCTGACTTCTGGTCTCTTGGCGTTGACATGGAACAAGATTGGTTTTGCAACCACTCTTGTAGTGCATCTGCCAGACAGTCATATCAGTCTTTCTTCTTGTCACCCCACCCATTACTACATGGTCCTAAAAAGGATATGATATTAGGTAGGCAATCAGTATCATCACCCACCCTATCATCACTGCCGGAATCACCCATACCCCCTCCGCCAGCCGCAAAGAATCTATAGTGCAAAGTGTACTTAAGGTGTACCAAGCTGTTACATCATGAAATGCTCACATTTTGCCACGCTTGAGGGTTAGATGATAAGAACAATAAGCTTGTAAAATCACAAGTTTAATTAGGATCTGAGTTAAGATTTTATGATACTGTTAATAATGTTTAAGAAGATTGAAACTATAAGTTTCTCATCTAGCTTATTCTATTTATAATAGAAAACATGATGGCAATTTGTTATTCTAAGAACAAATTGTATTTTCAATCAAATTATCATACAAATCATTTACACATCGGTATGACTTATAGTGCCGATTGGTGAGCCTCTCATATTCTGGTGAAGCATAAACTACCTTATTTTGATATGCTTCCATGATTCTCTGTGACTTTGCCCAATACTTCTAAATTGTCTTACTTGGTACACTACCTAATGATTCTGGTACCAAGCATTGTAATCCCTCCAAGTCATATATACAGTTCTCCCTAGTGCATGACTTTGCTGCTCCCCAGTAATATTCAATAAAATTAATCTCACAGTGGAATGCAAGGTAAAAGATAATTTCGTGGCCTGCTTCAAGAATTGCCTCTTCGATTTGGCTCTTTTGATTTTGAAAGTCAGGTTGTGACACCAGGAGTGCATGAGCATAAGAGGTACCACCATTTAAATATTGCCGATTAAGCTTGGGCTTCTTTCAAGTAGTTGATTTGATAGAACATTGTGCCTGAAAATGTAGAAGATAGTCTGGCCATAAGCCACACTCAGGTAGGACCTGTCATAATCCTTTAGGAGTTCCATCTGAGGAGCTCATTTCCTGTATATATCCACCATCAGGATGGTTCTTATCAACCATATAAGTGTCATGCATTTACTTACCATTCTTTCCACCAGGATCCAAATTCATCTCAGAAACTCTTAATGCATTATCTGCATATTTGAGGTGGTTTCTAGAATTATCAAAGGCAAATAAAATAAGGCTTTACAGCCAGGAAACTGAGCCTCAAAGCTAGGAATAGCTTTATGGAGAATTTGGACCAAAAGTCGGTTGGCAGTCTACCAAATATCTCCTCCACACTTGAGAACAACAGCTGCATCA